AGGTCGGACTCCTGGTGGGTGCCTGTGGCTCTCCACGGTGTGCATGAGCAGCGCCTACCTGTACAAGTGCAGGCCCAGCTGCCTCGACTGGTGCACGGGACTGGATCGCTTGCATTGCCTCTGCCGCGGCTCTGGCAGTCTCAGCTGCTGCCACCGCTGCGGACGACACGGTGGCAAGTGTGGCAGCCTGCGTGCTGATCAACTTCATCATCTCTTCAAGCTGCTCAAGGATCTTCTGCGAACTTCTATCGTTGCTGGCTGGTCTTCCTTTGCTGTTTCCCTTCCTCCCATCTTCTCGAGGATCGATTTCCCGCTTCGGTTTCGACCTGGATCTCCGAGAGGGAGGAGGGCCACGCTCGATCTCACGAGTAGCTTCCGCCAAGCTTGGTGCGCTCTGAGGCCGTCTTGGGGCCCTCTCGGAGGCCTCGTTAGGTGGTTTTTGGGGCATCTTGGGCCGTCTTGGAGCATCGGGAAGCCGAAAATGTGAGATCGTCAAAAACTAAAGGATCATCGACGATGTTTGCCTCTTGGGGCCCTCTTGGGGGCCCTCTTGGGGGCCCTCTTGGAGGTCCTCTTGGAGGCCTCTTGGGGGTCCTCTTGGAGGCCTCTTGGGGCGTCTTGGAGGCCTCTTGGGCCATATTGATGCGTCTTGGAGCGATCTTTCGGCGACTCGGGGCCCTCTTGGACCGTTTCGGGAGCCTCGTGGGGCCCTCTTGTCCCGTCCTGAGGTTCTCTTGGACCCGAAAGTGTTACGCGAGAAGATGCCGAAGCCCCGGGAGAGTTGAGAATCTGGGTTCTGGAGCCCCCTCGAGACTTGAGGACTGAGGCTCAGTGGATTGGGCAAAGGACTCGAGGACACGCCCACTCCGTGCCAGGGCACGGTGGCGGACGACGTGAGGCTCGAAGCCTCCGCGTTCACGAAGTACGTGGACGCCCGGGGTGGGCTCCTGTCTGCCGTGCGGCCGTCCCACGCGGAAGAGTTCGTCTGCTGGGCGCAGCAGGCGTACATTTCTCTCCTGCAGGAGGGCTCCGACTCCGCTCACCTGCAGTCCCCCAAGCGCCTCCACTTTAGGTCTCCCGCGCAGCAGCGGAGCGCCCACAGCTCGAGGAGCTCGGGGCAGATGCTCTCGGCGCGCCTGCGGCTCGACCTGGAGCGGCCGCCCGACGGCCAGGACCGCGGCCGCGGAGTTGTGCGGCTCGTCCTCCAGGACCTACTGCTGCGCCGGCGCGCGCCCCCTGGTCCGCGGCGGCCGTCGCGCTACGGCACCCCTGCCGCCATCGCCCAGGCCGCCAGCGGCCAGGTGCTGGCCCAGGAGCAGATCTCGCGGAGTGCCGCCCAGGCGGCCGCCCTCGCAGGCGGCGCGGCGCGGCCCGCAGCGGCGGACGGCCACGTGCAGCTCCAGGGCCCGGTGCCTCGGCCGCCCAGCTGTGACCCCGCAGCGCGGCCTTCGCAGGTGGTGACGCCGGGGACGGACATTCGTGGCCTGTGAGGCGCCATGGCCGCCGCCGCAGCGCGCGCGGGCGCTTGATCGTGCCGCGCCCCCCTCCCCCCCAAGGCATGCAAGCTGTCAAATAGGCCCCCCTCCCCCCCCAGGCATGCGTTCGGGTACTATCCGCTGCCTGCAGCGGCGACCGATTAATGGCCGAAACAGTCCGCCCAAGCGGTGTTTCTCGCCTTGTCGGTCAATTTTCAGAGCGAATAGTTGTGCCATTCAGTGTGTGACAAAGAGCGTGACGGTTAAATACCTCGCTCTTGTGTTTCCTCATCATACTTTCCGAGCTCCCGGCATCATTGTGTGAGATTGTTATGTTTAGCGACGGGCAGCATCTCTGGAGCAAGGTAAGGTCTTGCAATGGTGGTGCATACGTGCGGAGCAGTGCATGCATCCAGGAGGTAAACCATCGTCAGCGCAGTGCAGTGGACATTCGCAGTCGGTGTGGGGGGGGAATAAAACTTGATGCACTCATGCGCGAGCTTAGGCCCACCACGGTATAACAGGCGTAGCCGCTGGGTACCTCAGGGAGGTGCGCCTGGGAAGTGTCGTTTGCGAGACACACCCTTCTTTTTTGACAGACACGTGATCGCCGCGAGATAGTAGGCGTGTCACTTGGGCGCCTGAACGAACAATTGCCAGGGGGTCGGACACGTGCCCGTCCGCGGTCAGATTGTGGGGATGCTCCAGGCTGTTTGCCTGTTTTGCAAAACACACCTGTCCATTTGGAGAGACGCATGATCACCGCGATACAGCACGAATGCCACTTGGGCACCCCAAGGAGGAGCCGCCAGGAAGCAGTGCACTTGCCCGTTCTTGCCCGTACTGTGGCGGTCTGCCTGTTGTGTATGTGTGCGTGTGTGTGACATCTTCCTCTCTCTTGAGAGCCTCACGGTCGCGGCGACAAAGCAGGCGTGGCATTTGGACTCTCGGGAGGAGAAGCCGTGCAGGTGTGGGGCACCTGCCCGTTCGCGCCCATAATGTGAAATGTCTCAACCGCACTGCACGTGTTGATAATAATGCGAAGGCCTTACGGCAGGTGCCGCCGACCCTGAGAACGACGAAGATGAAAACAAGGGGGGGGGCAGGGGGAGGAGGATGAGTGGGAGGTGGAGGAAGGGTGGAGGAGGTGGATGAGGGAGGATGTGGAGGAGAAGCAAGAGGAGGAGAAGGAGGCAGAGTAAAGCAGGAAGAGGGGGAGAAAGATGGGGGGGAGGAGGAGGAAGATGAGGAGGAGGAGGAGGAGGAGGGATGAGGAGGAGGAGGAGGAGGAGAGGAGGAGGAGGAGGAGAGGGGAGGATGAGGAGGAGGAGGGGGAGGAGGGAGAGGGATGAGAGGCGGAGCAGGAGGATAAGAGGGAGGAGGGAGGAGGAGGAGGAGCAGGAGCAGGAGGAGGAGGAGGAGCAGGAGCAGGAGGAGAAGCAGGAGCAGGAGGAGGAGGAGGAGGAGGAGGAGGAGGAGCAGGAGGAGGAGGAGGAGGAGGAGCAGGAGGAGGAGGAGGAGGCCAGAGGCTTTCTTCGGACAGCCTGGGGCTCTCTTGAGGCCGTCTTGGGCCGTCCGGGGCTCCTCTTGCGCCGACTCGAGGCATTCTTGGAGGCCTCCTGGGTAATTTGGGGCTCTCCTGGGCTGTCTTGGGGCAGTTTTGGGGCCCCTCGGGAGCCTCTTGGGGCCTCTTGGGGCTTCTTCGGGGCCTCTTGGGGGCCTCTTGGGGCTGAGAGCTCGAAATATCCGTTCGGGTCCCCCGTCTGGGCACTCTCCTGGAGCCGTCTTGGGGGCCTCTTGGTCCGTCTTGGAGGTTCTTGGACCGTCTTGGGGCCCTCTTCGGCCGTTGGGGGACGCTCTTGGGGGCCTCTCGGGCCGTCTCGGGGCGATCTTGGGGGCCTCTTGGGCCGTCTTTGCGCGTCGGGAAGCGGAAGAGGCAAGAACGCCAAGATCTTCCAAAAACGCATGGGGAAGTCCATGAGTTTTGCCTCTTGGGGCTCTCGTGGGAAAGCTCCTGGGGGCGCTTTGCAGGCCTGTTGGGCCGTCTGGAGGCCGTCAAGGCGTCTTGGCAGATCGTTCGGCGATTCGGGGTTCTCTTGGACTATCTTTGAGGCCTCTTGGGGCACTCCTGGCCCGTCTTGGCGCTTTTTGGGGCTCCGGGACTCCCAGGGGGGGGCGTCTGACCCCCCCCTCCCCAGGACCCCTTCCCCCCCCCCCGGCGGGGGAGGGATCGAAGGGAAGAGGCTTCCCTTCGACTGAATTACAACGTTGCTCAATTCAATTTTGCTTTGGCTGGCGCGCTGAGGAGGTCGCTGGAAAAGGGGGGAGCTTAGTCGAGCCCAGGGAAAGGGGGGAGGCAGGGAAAGGGGACGACAGAGACGACGACCAACGAATGACGGAGATGACGACTTGAACGGACGAGCCCCTCACACACGCCGACAGGGTCGGCGGATTTGAATATGCTGCGAACTGTTCGGACTTGTGTGCGCGGCGCTAAGGCGAGAGCCACATTTTGCAAATGACCCGCCCTCCATCCGTGAAACTCTTGCAACTGTTTAAGACGAATGCGCGCGGCGCTAAGGCGAGAGCCACATTTTGAAAACCGCCTGCCGTGAACCTGTTGCAAACTCGAAGCTTCAAAATCACAAGTGGTGAGGAGCTCTCAGGCTGGGTAGTCGAAGGCCAGACTGTCAGATTGGATTGGGCCCCAAGGGCCAATCTGGCCTGGCCAAACTGGATGATTTGGGTTATTCGCCAGACTGGATTCGCGTTGGCTCCCTCACCAGATTGCCCCCGTTTGCCAGATTGGGCCTGCCAGATTGGCGCCAGATTGGCTTCGACTACCCAGTCAGGTGAAACGCCCGGACCGCCCTACCGACCGGTCTCGGAGTGCGACGGGGCGGAGGCCTTGCTCAGTCCGCCCTCCCTGCCCCTCCTCGCCCCTCCCGCTCCTCGTCCTCTCTGCGCCCGCGTCCGCTCCCGCAGCCGTCCCGACCCTTGCCCCGAGCCCCTGCCCCTGCTGATGCCGCCGCCGGCAGCCGCTGGTGCCGATCCTGTCGGGGCCCTAGAGACGGGGGTCACTGCAGACGGGGTTAGTTTGAGCGCTTGCAGGATCCTGCAGAGCTTGGGGTGCACTGACCCGGGCTTGGGTGCAGGGTCCTGCAGGATCTTGCAGGGTCCTGCAAAGCCCGACTGAACCGGGTCTGGATTGACCCGGGTCAGTAGATCCCCGATTTTGCCACCGTTTCTTTCCCCTGCGTCTTCCTCGCCTCCCTCCTCCCCAGGCCTCCCAGATGGCGTCGTAGTGGAGGGGGTCGGAGGATCGCGCCGCATCGCCGATGCGTCGGCGATGCGGCGAGATCCGCTGGCCCCACATACTCCGACCACGTCTTGGAGGCCTCTGAGCACCCTCGTCGCTGTCGTCGTCGTGTCTTCCCTCAGTCTGGCCCCCTTTCCTTCGGCCGCGCTGCGTGGAGCGCAGCGCACGCGCGCGCGCCCTGCGCCTTTCCCCGCCGCTCTCCGGAGGAGCAGCTGAACAAACGCTTGGGGCGGCCGTCCCTGGTGCGGACGACCAACCGCCGCGGGGTGGTTCAGGAGGCCGGGGCCCCCCGCCAAGTGAGCAGGGGGAGGGGAACGAACGGAGAAGGAGGAGGAGGAGGAGGAGGAGGAGGAGGAGGAGG